CTGTTCTTCTCCCCATCTACCTGCAATGAGAACACACATAAAATGTGGTGCAAACAGACCAGAATGGGGAAGCCAGACTGATTTCTGTGTTTTGTATTGGGATTTCTGTATTCTTGGGCTGTTAAACAGCACTATTACAGGTACATGGTGGAGTCTGAAGGGAGAGGAGGACTCTCAGTCAGCAGGGTCATATGGACACACCCCATGAGCTTAAATCAGACCAGGAATCAAAGCAATGGGCACTATCACTCACCCCACACCGAGGCACCATTATTTGGGCAGTCCCCAGCCTTTTGGATGGGCTGCTGAGGTGCTGAGCCAGCTTGAGGGGCCTTGGCTGGCTCTTACCACTGGCTTCATTTTTCCCCCCTGGGCACCGTTGTGGTGCGTGAGCCCTTGGAGAGGATGGAGTTGGATTCCAGCCCATGGATGGAAAAGTGAAAGTGGAATAGAAGAAAGAAAGAAGGAAGTGATCCATGTAACCACAGCCCTGACCTCAGCAGCGTGCCAGCTTTTACAGAGGATTTGGAGGGCAACAATAATCAAGGACACGGTGCTAAAAGGATGCAGGATGGGCTTCCTTCAGGCAAAACTCACTGGCTGCATTTCTTTGACTAAAATAACTGGGTTTGCAGACAAAGGAAATGTGGTAGATTTAATCTGTTTGGTGAAGAAGTCCTTTTGCTGCATGGGAAATGTTTACTGGTGATATGCTGGGAAACATGGATATAATTGTGCAATTCATATGGCAGGTGAGAGCCGGGCTCTCACTCACCTGTAGTACTGCAAAGGAGTATCAGGTATGGAAGGAATTTAGATTAGTTACTAGTGGACTTCCTGAAAGCTCTGTCCTGCATTTGATCCAATTCAGTCTGTTCATTAATGACCCTGGCACAGAGAGAAGAAAAATGCTGAAAAATTAGGGAAAATGCTGACAATACAAAGTGTAGAAGCACTGTCAATACCTCAGAGGATTAGGATGTCATCCAGGAAGGTCTGAATAACCTTGAGTACTGCAATAACAAAGATAGGATGGAAATTAATAGCACAGAGTGCAAGGCTGTGTGCTTAGGGACTAATAACAGGCATTTCTGTGTTAAAGGAGGGTTCATATGCTGAAAAAAATGAGGAGGAAAACATCTCCAATGACTGTAAGCCACAAATATGATGCAGCCATGAAAAAAAGCAGTAAGAACTTAAAGTAATGGATTTAGCCCAGAAAAATGATGGAAGGAGGAGATACAATGGTTTGCTGTCTCATATGGCACTGAGCCCAAGGCAAAGAGTAAGGGAAGGAAAACACTGTATAAGCAAAGGAGCAGAGCTGATGCACAGAAAAAAGGCTGAAAAATGACAATGACTAATTAAGGCTGGAAATAAAAGATCCTGACCCACATGAACAGCAAGGTCACAGCAGAGCCTCCCAGTGAGGGAAAGGAGCAAAATCAGTTTATGGAAGGGAGTCTATAACATGCTGCTGGTGGAAGCAGAAAACTAACCCTTGGGCTCAGGAGGTATTTTCAAGTCCTAAGCAGTGAAACTAAGGGCTCAGGTCTCCTGTGGTTTTTCTGCAGATGCAGGCAGGGATTTCTGGTGTAGGTTGAGTCCCTGGATGGACTCAACCTCCATGAAAATGCATTGCAGCGAAGAGCACAAAAATCCCCAGCGTTCGCTCACAGGCCATTCCACTGCAAGTCCAACAGTTGGGAAATTTCATGTGGTTTTGGTTCTTTTCCTGCACTGGAGGGGAGCAGTGTCACATTCCCAGCCCCAACCATGCATGCTGAAGTTGTGTGGCCACTGGCCGACCTGTGTTTTCAGTAATAACAGCTGATGTGATCTGTGATTCCTGAGCCCGGTGCCAGCCCCAGCGCCGGGTTTGCCGCGTATTTGGGTTGGTGCTCAGAGCCCTGGAAGCAGCCCATACACACCACATGCAGGAATCCAGATTCCATCTGGTTACAGCAGGGTTTTGTAAAAAATACCTAAAGAGCTAGGCAGAGGATTAGAATAAAGAGGTGCTAATAGGGTGCAGTTGGGACAGGAAAGGAAGCTGTAAAGAATTTAATGGAAAAAGAGGGTCAAGGAACATAAAAAATAAAATAGGAAGAAAAAGAGGCACTTTTTTTTTAAAAGGTGAAAGAGTAACAATAATAAAGAATGAAAGATTCTTTTATTTTTGCCAGTTTCAACAAAACCCTTAAGAAAATTCTCTTCTGTGACGTTTAATTTCAAAACATGTCAGCGTATCCCCAACCAATTTTTAAATCCTGCTTTGTTTTTCTCAGATGCAGGGTTGCACTTGGAGAGTTCTGATCTTCTCCTAGGCCTCATGAAACTACTGTCCCCTGCCCCACATTATTTGGCTCTCTCAAGAGGTGGTTGAAGTTCAAAGGGATATATAATTTACAAAGCACTTGGGGATTGTGGTGGAAGAAAGACACTGTTATTAATAACGTACCCTTTTTTTCCTCCTGATCACTTTATATAATGTAACTATTTTTTTTATTTTTATTACAATCTCAACTGCAACAGCCTCTTCCTCCATTTAAACAACATGATCTCAGCCCATCCCAAAGAGTTTGTAATCTGGGTCATACATGGATTGAGGGAGGAAACAAAGGGACAGTGTGGGATAGTGAATTAAAGTCACACAGCACATCCAAAAGTGAAACAGAGACTGAGCGTCCCCCGACCCAGCCCTGTGCTGGCCATGAGACCCCTCTCTAGAGATAAACACTCTGTAAGGTGATTCTCTTAAATTTTGAGTGAAAGTGTAAATGTAGTTCAAAATGCACAAAACAGAGCAGGTTTACCAGAGAAAGGAGAGCATTGTTCCTTCTTCTGAACTCAGGTGAAGGGCTTAGGTCTGAGTGGAAACGGGAAAGGACCTTATTGTAACAAGATGCTACAATAATTTTACTTGAAACCCTAAAACAAATTCAGGGCTCATAAAAAAAGCATTGACATGGTGAAAGAGAATGGTTTCTTTAAGATGTTCTTGGTCAGAGAATATGCTAAGCATGCATTTCTAATGTCTGGGTGGGCAAACGCAAGTGGAAATTTAAATTCTACAGAGGCACAGAGAATGTGCTTCTGAAAATGTTTCCAGTTAAAAGCATGTTAAGTGTGAAAGTGTAGCCTACACGGAGGGAGGGAGGGAGTGTGGTCTATCAGATCATCAGCAAGGATTCTGTGGCCTTTCCGGGTACTGAGAGCATTTGGTGTCTGCTGTCACTGCTCTGGAAAAAAGGACCAACAAGAGGAACACTGTGCCAGAGCTGATTGTTCCTGGGGAGAACTCTGCTAAATTGTGGCTGTAAACTGCCTGGTAACCCCACACAGAAGAAGAGATACCTTGGAATAAGGACTGGACCTGAATCTCCAAAGGAGACTCTCCAAATCTGGTTATAGGAACAGAGTAATCCTTTCTCAGGAGGCTCTGTGTGATTTATCCTGACCTGGACAGGCAGCAATGCCATGGTGGAAGTGTGCAGCAAAGAGGAGACATCCAGGGGCTCATTCAGGGTCATGGAATCCCCCTGAGAAATAGCCCTGTGGGTCTTGGGGCTATAGCAGACCTGACAGCCAGGACCTCCCTTTGCTGCCCTCCTGACAGAGGCAGAAGCTGCCCATGTCTTCTAGAGCTTTTTAAGTTGCTTTTCTTCATCTCCACCACCTGGATGCCCTCCAGGTACCTGCTTGGCCTCCTCCAGCCTCCTCACAGTGACTTCATAAAAGGCCTAGGAGTATTTCATGGCAGGGTACAAACAAAAGCAGATGCTTTTTGTTTCTGTCTGAGAGTGACACGACAGAAATCCCAGCATTCCTGGATTCAGGAAACTTCCTCATGGAAATGCCAGTTGTTTCCTCGAAGCCACTGGGAGTTTGGCTCTCCTTACACACCTGGAAGCTCAGGGGGCATCTCATTTTACCTTTCAGTACCAAAAGCTGTGTGGCCACAATATTGTACAGCAGCAATAACAGGCAGAAACTGAAACCTGAACCAGCCTGGCCTTATTGATGGATGACCTGACACTGGAGTTCCCTGCTCCAGGGCACTTTAATCAGAGTGCAGGTCTAATTAGAAGGAAGTGTGCTGTTTGTCATTTTCCCCATTGTTTCTGCAAGGAGGATTAGCTTTGTAGGAGCATTTCCCTGGCTTGTCTGAATATAAAAGATGCAACAGCCAGCAGGTTTGTTTGAATATGATTTTTAAGGTATTTTTCAGCTTTATTCTAAACTGATTTTATGTTATAACTACTATGAAAATTGGAGAGTCTATAGTAGCCTACAATGCTAAAGATTACTGCAGAGCAAGAGTGAACTTTTTTGTTAGCAAACAAACTGAACAAATTAATGTACCTTCCTGTGTTTCCTCATTTTGGCCAGAAAAGTCTTTTTTTTTACACAGTGCAGATCAAAATTAATTCAGCTAAAACTGCTTGCCAAATCAGAAAGAGAGCTTTTTATTGCTTTTAAGACTTATTACTATTAGATCTCTAATTACTCCTACTGAGGAGAAAAGCACTCTTACTGAGGAAGGCATCTAAAATGTGTTTCATCATAATTTCTTGAGTCCTTTTTTTTTTTTTTTTGGTAGCACTGTTTGACAGTTAATTATACCCTATTCTGTGCTGATTCAGGAAAGGAAAAGGTTAGATATGCAGTCACTGGACTCTTGTCTAACTTTACACTGCAAGTTGCTCTGTCTCCCAGGAGGCAGCCAAGGGGAAAAGAAAACCATCCCCAAACAATGCATGGAGGCAGCTTGCATGGAATCTGGCCTTGCTGGCCACAGATTAAATGGGCTTTGTCTGAGGTAATGAAAATCTGACCTGCCCAACAAAAGGAAATGAATATTACAGCTGCTTACTGTGGCTAACAATGTGTCCCAATGCTTTCAGACATTTTCACTGTGTTCACCAGATGGAGGCTTTGGAAATGGGTGATTTCTGAAGGGAAGGGATATTGGTTTGCAGTGGTTTTTAGCTCCTTACCGTGACTGGCAGGGGTGTGTGTTACATTTCCTGACCTGGGGCTCGGGGCGTGTCACTCGCTGGCAGTCACTGTCATTCACCAGTGTCATGGTCTTGTTAATAATTCGGGTACAGGACACAATGGTTTTCCTTTCACCTACGAGTCAAACAAAAAAGAACTCTGAACAAAACCCTGTCAACTCCTTAACCAAAACTCAGCAGCTTGGAGCTCCCTGTTCCCTCTACAAGACTGTGCCCTGCAAGCAATTTTATTCTCCACTTCTGCCTTACCGTTGTACTCTTTTTCCACCCTCCCAGAAAAGCTACAAATCTTTAGCCAATAATTCTGCAATTGACTCCTTCACAGGGACAGCAGGTTGGGCTTTCTCTTTCTAGTGTTTAACGTGGAAAACATCTTGAAAACAATTTGCTTTCATTTCTTGTTCCTCCCCCACAGGTAGCTGTGCCCTGTAATCACCTCAGACAGATGTGCTGATAACCACAGGACAGCTGCCTCTTGCTGCTTCCAGGCAGGAACAGTCGGGTTGAAAAGGAGTGATGGAAGTTCAAGAGAGATTAACTGGGGTCGGTTTTGTTTCACAAAGAGCTGAAATTAAACCTCCAAAGTAAGAAAATCTCATCTTTTGGTCCTCCAGATATACTGCTTTAAAAGCCCTGCTAGTAGGATACATCTCAGCATTTCTCACATAAACTCACATCAGGAGTGTCTTTCCCCAGGACACTGCAGTGTGGCCCTCAGGGCTCTGCCTTCCCCTGTGTGACCCCAGGAAAGCTGGGCCACAGGGCAGCATGACAATGACCACAGGTGACAAGGAAAATGCCACCCCTCCACAGTGTGACTTTGCCTCACTGCTAATTATTTTGGCTCCTCAGAGCCTCTTTCTAACCCTGAGCCTGCATCAAATGGAGTTTATTCATTCATGACCTGCAGCAGATAATAAAAAATAACTCAAATTCTGTAAATAAAAATTTTGTAAAAGTCTGTTTGGAAGGGAAGAAGAGAAAAGGCCCTTCCCAGCTTGGATAAGGAGTAACAGCATCTGGCAACCAAAATAAAAGATCAACTGTCAAGCTACCACTGGTAGGAGCCATGGTTGGCAGACACTGATTTTATTCAAATACATAGCAAGCTTGCAACAAAAAATAAAGCCACAAACAAATCTCCTACTCATTCATGTGAGGATTTAATGACTCAGAAATTATTATTTTAATGCATGAGTAAAAGTAAGTGTCTATTTTAAGATGAGTTCTATTTACAGAAAAAAATAAATCCATGGTTTCAGTGCACTGAGGGCAGTGAGCCTGCAAATGTGAAGATGAGCCCTCTTTCCTTCTGTCACATCATATCATAAATAACTGGGACTGCTGGTGAAGAAAAACCGGCCAGAATGCATGGAAATGATCTGTTTTCCTCAGGGAGCAACCTACTCCTTCCAGCACTGAAAATTCAATGGACAGTGGCTGACAAACCAGTCTCTGGTTTCACAGCATCAACTCCCCTCAGGGTTTCAGCAGATCTGTCTCAGCACATCGGAGGGATCCTGTGAAATCTGAGCTCTGCCGTGTGCTCCTGGACTCCCAGCACGTCCACCCTGGGACTGTCACAGCAGCACTGCCCCTGCTCCATCCCTGGGCAAGGAGGTGTCTCCTGGTGAACGTGCCTGAACACCTGGGAAGACTCTGCTCCAAGAACGTGAGGGGGGTTTGAAATATGGGGCTGCAGCAGAGCCCTGAGCCACCTGAGGAGCACAAATCCAGGTGTGGCTCCAGCCTATGGTGAGGAGCTGACAGAGCAAGTCCCTGCCAAAATCCCGGGTGAAAATTAACTGTAGGGGATGGGATGAGAGCTGGGAGAGCTGGTGAGAACGAGCTCTCATTTGAGTTCATTATGACAACATCCATTCCCATGGCCAGTTTCCATCCCCCTCTCTGATGCCTGGTGTCTGCAAACCCCGTACAGCGAGTCCCACCAAGCTTCCCAAGATCCCTACCTCCTCCACACTGCACACTGCATCCTTCCCATCCACTGTGTGTCCAGATGTACAAGGAATCCTGTTGCTTTTCTGGCTCACTCCTGTTTTCAGCAGTATAGTTTACAGGAATGGTGTATTCATAATGAATCCCATAATTCTGGTCATGAAATAACAGCACCTGGTTCGGCAGGAAAAGAAAGGCAGTTACAACACACTGTACTGGGAAAGCCAACAGACTGTGGAGACAGTAATGCTGGAAATGCTGGCTCAGGCCAAGGTTTCTAAAACATAAAACATAAAATATACCTTGTGAAAGGCAACCAAATCTTTACCTAGAAACCTGAAATTACAGTGGCATTGGTAAAACAGGGCACTGCGGGAGCAACAACTGCTTATGATTTGTGAATATTTAAAACAGCCATGGAGATGTCTAAACCTGAAATTCAGGGCAGAACTTTAAGCCTTATGTGCAATCAACAGGCCACTGACTACCCAAAGAGAAGCAGTAAGACAACAGAAAGCATTAAATCAACACTTTTCATACAGCAACTATTTTAATGAGCATCTATAGAGTTAACACATCTGAAAGGTCAAGGTGATCCTTCTCAGAGCAAAAATAGCTAATGCAAAAAAAGTCACAGATCTCCTGGGAAATGTGGCACTCACAGTGAGTGTGACTATTGCTGCTGACAAGCTGTGGCAGCAGGATTTTATTGCCTCAGAGGCCTGAGGAAGACGAGGAAGAGCCCTATCATAGAGCTGCTGGCAGCACGTATTTTCATAGCCTGCGTATTGCCAGAGGAAGGTGAAACCTGCTTCCAGCAGCAGGCTATTTCCCATGGAGTCACATGTGATGTCTCCAGTGTTATTACTCTAAAATTCACTATTAACAGAGGAAGAGAGAAAAATTTTTTCACCACAGTCAGATGAGATTTCTGGTCCTGTTTTGATTTACATGTTGGGCTTTGTTTGGATCTCACTTTCACTGGTTTGAGTCAGAAGTGACTAGAAAATATCCAGTGGAATGTGAGGTCCATGGAATCTGAGTTACCACACTATTAACAAATGCCACAGAAGTACTACTGTAATGCTGATGCTGTGGCTTTAGACTTACTCACACTTATTATCCCATAATTTCAGCAGCAGCATTAGACAGGTGAATTGTGCTGGCTTTTGACACCCACTGAAATGGAAGCAATGCCTTACCCAACAAGATATTTTAAGCAGGGCTCTCATAAGTGAAGCAAGCAGCTGCCCAATTAAAAAAGACAAATTTGCAAATGCTATTTTGTCCCAACAGTAATTGTTTCCCCTTCAGATTTGCACAAATCATTCCTGCTTAACCAATAATCTCACTAAAGCTGTCAGGTGCTTGTTTAACCACATAAATCACTATGTGATGATGTGGCAGCCTGTGCATGAGCACTGGGGGTGCACTACAAACTCAGCACCCATGAGCTGCTCTGCACCCTGGGCAGAAAAGCCTCTTCCAGAGGATGTGGGGAACAAAGATATGCTTTTGCTTCAGCTACAGAGGGAGCCTTACTACCAGGACTGAATACTAGTGCTCATCATTACAATTTCAAAGATAAACGTTGGTTTTTTAAACACAATTCAAACACCAGGCAGAGGCAGAGAGCTCCAGTCCTGCTCTGGCTTTCCTGAAGTGCACGAGATATAAACAGCTTGTTCTACAGAATTGATCCTTCAGCCTTGTCTAGAGATTCCTTCTGCTCTGGGAGTGTTTGTTGTGAGAGCAGGACTAGCACAGGCCTAGTTACACAAACATTAATTTCTCCAAGAAATCCACTTACAGCAATGCACTTGAAGAAATGCCTCAAGTATTAAAAACCAGCTCCTAAAAAGAAATCCTTATTATCTCAATATGAGTGCAAGACTAGTGAATCTAAAGGCCCATATGAAACCAATTTCATGCAATTTCGTAGCCATGTATAATTGGGGGGTGTGTGTACGTGTGGATAATTGGTTTCAAATGCAGGTCACAACACACTGACTGAAGCTTCTGGCTCCTTCTCAGCCCAGTGTATTCCACCACTGTTTGAACAACAGTTTTCTATTTAGGGGGAACTGGTAACCATCCTGCCTTTCTTGTGTTGAAAGAATGAAACCCACTACCCCGTATCAAGGAAAAGATTAGTATCTGATTTGAAGCAAAGGCTTCATCTGTGCTTTGTTTACCACTGGCAGGGATTTTAAGCCACATGTTTTTTAGTGGTCTGGTAATTTTTACTTTCCTCATTTTTAATCATTTCTGTGAGGGAAGGTGAAGAAGGAACATTTCCTCTGCTTATGTTTGCTGAAAGTGCCAGTCTGTACCTGGAAAGGTTCTCCTGGAGAACCTCATAATCACTAGTTTCTTATGTTAGCTACTTACTCCTTAACAAAGGGGAACTGAGTATTTCTTTAAAACCAACACTATACTGATGCTGAGGTTCACAAAATGCTGATAACCAGATTTTACTGCACCAGACCTCAACCAAGTCATGCCCCAGGAGGTTCCAAGAGCTGCCAAAGGAACCCTGCACAGCATGTTCACAAACGGTACCTGTGCAACTCCTTTTTCTCACAGGGGGTTAGGAAGACCTTGGCAGTACAAGATACTTTGTCAGAGTCCTGGTTTCAGGAGGGAAGACTTGTGTTAAGGCCAAAGTCAAGCAGAAGCTGATGTTTCTGGTGCTGAAGAAGGTGCCTGTACACACCTCCTTTGTGTGGGCAGACTCTGAACTACGTGGTCGAGTCAGGAAAGTGCTGGTGTGCCCAAACCTGCCCCCTGATCATTCCAGTTCTTGGAATCCAGCTTTACACTGGTCTGTGAACCTGGTAAACTCACTCATCTGAGAAAGTAAAGACAAAACACCCCATGTTCCTATGCAGCATATTTTGACACACAGAAAGTACTGACAAAGTGGTGTACAACTATTATTTTTTTTGTGTGTGTGAAAAGCATCTTTGGAGCTTTTCAAACTGGGTCAGGAAATGTTGCACAACGAACACCAGCAAGCCAAAAAAATCAGGTGAGGAAAGGGAGAAAGCGATTTTTAGCAGTGCTTACAGATGGCCTTCAGTGAATAAACGTGGCAAAAAGTCACAAGGAAAAGAAACAGCACAGAGAAAAATGCAAGTGGATAAAAAAGTAACAGGAAACAATGAACACATTAAAATATTCCATGTTTCTAAGTAAACCTTGCTATAGAAACTGCAAAGCTTTTTGCAGACTTTCAACTAGGAACACAGATAAGAGACAGGCATCATCATTATAGCTGTCTTATAGATGACAACATTAAGGTTACACCACTGTTAAGGGCCTGGCCCATGGGTCACCCCATCACCCACAGTGACAGCTCTGGGACTACAGTCCTGCTCTTCTCACCCCTGTGGACTTCTCACTCCTGTTCTCATACAGCAGCCATGAGGGTGTTTATAAAATGACAGCGTTAACAGAAGGACTATGTTGAACATTAGGGAAAACTTTCAAAAAACACCTTAAATTACATACAACTGAAAAAACAATATAAAGAAAACAAGGAACATTTCTGTGTGTAATTAAGTCACTGCTTAGATTCGAATTCACATGTATCATCTGCACATGCTAAATATGCATCTCTTCTGTTAGAGAACAGTGTATTAAAACACAGAATATATTCTGGCATAAGACGAGAAGGTATTTCAGCAACTATCCTTTTATGTGTGTGATCAGGCATGTCCATGAAATAAAAAAGGTCTCTGGGAACCTACATCCTCTGGAATGGATGTGTCACATAGTGTGACACACTACAGGGGTATCCTGCACTGGACATGAGTTTACTGGGGCACTGAATGTTCTCCCAGGACAGAGCATCACTTATTTTGAAGTAGGGAGCTGGGATTCTCCAGCCTTTGCAACAAAAAAGAGGGGCACTACAGCATACCTTGAAAACACTGTGGTGAGGGAGCAAACAATCAAAATTTAACTTTCAGCAAGGACATAAACCCTTTACGTTGCATCATTTAAGAAACACAAACAAAGGATATAAAGTTACCATCAAGTGCAGTGGTATTTTAGTTGGTCCTTTGGCAGAGATTTTCTCCCACAGACCCCTCCGCACGTACCGGACAGTAGTGCCTGCGATCTGAAACTCACCGGGAAGCTCAATTTTCCAGTCGCTGTTAATGGATCTCTTACTGGAATCTTTTAGAGCTGGAATGAACCAAACACCACGGAATGAAAGGCAAGCAAATTTGTAATTGCAGCACAGGCTATTGAGTCTTTGTCTGAGGCTACCTGGAGCACAGGATGCAGTAACTGCGTAACAGATCTGAGTTTAAATTAAAACAAAATACACTTTTAGGTGACTCAGTGTGTCTAACTTGGATATATTCTGTATTTCGGTTGATGAAGGTGTTTCAAGCATTAACACAGAATTCACAGATCACTTATCTCTAAACTCTCCTTCCAAATGCAACAAGACAACTCTGCAATTTAGTTCCCAAGCAGATTTTTTTTTTTAGTTTTTTTTTTAGTTTTTTGAGACCATATTTTCCTAAACTTTCCTTGAGAAAAAGATCAGTCAAATCTCCGTGCTGATACAAGATTTGCAAGTGCAAAATACAGTGATCCTGAGTTTGTGTGTGCTCCATAATTCAAACAGTGAACATGTGAACATTTAACTGTCACAGATGTAAAGAAAAGCCAGGTTACAAAGCAGAGGCTGGTCAGTGGACAGAAGGTGAACTTGGCCACCCCCTTTTCAGAGTCCATGAGCTGGAAACACATGCACAAGGTCAGGTGCTGTGGGATCACATCCATCCTGCCAGGCACTGCCTCTATGCATCAGTAAGGCCAACATGGAAAGCTCTACTGCTGAAGGAAAACGAGTATTGAGAAGAAAAGATACTTGGAGTATCTTTAGGAGCATGTCCTTTCTTCCAGCATAGCTATTGCATCAGGATCACTGATATCCTTCAAGCACTCAAAGACAACTCCAGCCACAAGGACATCCCATTGCTGCTGACTCATCAGTGCAAGCTGATTTAGGGATTGATGTGTTTTCTCCATTGGAACGGAAGCACAGTTATCCAGAGGGGCTGTGATGCACTGAGGGAAGAGAAAATTGGCAGCTCCTGTTCCAGCAGAAAGTGCCAGGCCCCTTTGTGGAGATCCATGACCGTGCTCAAATGTGCCCTGACAGCAGACAGACAGAATATCCCCTGTGTTACTGGGCTTCCCTAGTTCAAGGTTCACTGTGTCCTTTGGCTAAGCCTTTAACAAGGTGTTTTTTTAACCTCCAGCATTTCATGCCCATTTTATTCTCTTCCAGCCCAGAACACAACCTTGGCCCTCACTTAACTGAGTGTGATGCAAGGAGGTAAGAGGAGCTGTTTAAAGCCTTTGGAAGCCAACAGGGAATCTGCCACTGTCATCTCTTTGGATCAAGCCTCCACAGCCAGCAAACCCTCCTAGGTGTGCTGAGCATATACATATCATTTGTAGTGTCTGAGCTCTGGGGGAGTCTGGAGCAAGTGAAGGTCACAATGTTCTCTGCATCTGCATGTGCCGTTTTGAGGACCTGTACCCTGGGGAGCTACTGGAAAAAGGTGGAATACCTTTGTGTCCTGCTGCACACAAGCTTCCTGACAGCTCTCATGGTCCCATGAGAGGCTCCAAAATCAGGGTGAAGGGAAACTGCAGGTGTGGCTTCCCCAGGAGAAGTGGGATGTATGTGGGAGAAGGTTTTTTTCTGAGGAACGTTCTCTTTGGCACACAGCCTGGGGGTATGATGGTGTCCTGGTATTTGCATGCTACAGCAATAGAACTCTGTCTGCACCTCACTTCTCCTCCTGCTTTGTTCCTCCATCTACAAAGTACCTTCTGCAAGCTTCAGACAAAATTCTGAAGCAGGATTGCTTCCCTCTGCCAAAGCCTAGTGGCTTCCAGGCAGATCAAAGCGGCCATCAGGCCGCCCTGAGGAGCTGTGGACACGACTAATCAAAGCTGGGGATGAGATAAAGTTATTTCCATGGCTGACTAGCAAAGATATCCCAGCACATGCTCAAAATTGAATGACTAAAACCATGCTTTGGTTCCAGCTCCCCATCAAAGGAAGACAGATTCCTGATGAAAACCGAAACGTTTAATCTTCGAGAACCTCTTTTCTGGGTAAGGTTTGATTTTGATTGCTGCAGGCACCGCTCCCTCACTCACTGAGGAGATGGAGAAACAGACCTGTTCCCAAATTGAGGACTGCAGGAATTCTACTGGAGGCTCAGCAGAGCATCTGGGCCAAAGTGTTTTCAACACTGTTTGCCTTCATTGTACCAAGTGCCCCATCAGTAGAGATAATGTTGCAGCTGTAAAACCTCCATGTACCTTAAGACACAGAGAACTTCCTTTTTCTCCAGTGGCTTTTGTCACACACAACTATTGCCTGGCTCTGCCCAGCCCCAGAGGTGACAGAACTAAACTCAAAGCTGTGCAGTAGAAGAGCAGAAGGAATAGGAACCCCAGCAACAACCTGTAACTTCTGTTTTTCTTGTTGGCCGGAAGACAGGAACTGACCCATCTATTTCTAAAGCTGGCATCCAGTCAGATCTTTATATCCACCTTGGGTCTCTCCAGCTTGCTTCCCAGCCTGTGGACACAAACTGCCCAGGCATTTCCTGTTCAAGGTGGTTTTTCAGTGTTGCAGCCAGCCAAGGCAGCCAGCGTGGGTTGCCTGGAGGTGGAGGGAAATTCTTCAGGCACTGCTCCCAGCACATGGAATAATGATTCCAAATTATGCTGGGCTCCTTTCCAAAGTGCTGTACCCGGTTCTGAGTAGAAATAGGACCTGATTGGACTCAGCTTCATCAGTGTTATTGAAATAGAAAATTCTTCCATACACAGACCTGTATTCAAGAGACTTATCAGAGTGATGGGATTTTGTTTTCTTGGTCATCTTTATTGTCCTACTGGAACCCCATTACTGCTATTCTTCACCTTAGTTTAGCAAGACAATGGGTATCTTCTCTTTGTGTCCAGTGTCCCTTGAAAGAGAAAACCCTGGAAAGCTTAGAGAGGTTCTCCTGGCTCCTGACCACGAACCAAAGAGCTAAAAGCACTCAGAAGCTTTAAAATAGCCAGATTTTTATCTGTCTTTATGTGATGCACACAGGGCCAAGTCCTGCTCTCAAATATACACAATCCTAATCTTCACCACCCAGTGGGGAAACATCTGCTTTAGTCAAGGTTACGTTGTCCCAGTGAAGGGCAGTCACTGCACGTAAGACTTTGAACTCCACTATCTGCCAAAGCCCAAACCCCGGACAAATACCCTGTGCAAACCCCACCAAGACAAACAAAAAGGTTGGTTTCCAGAAGGCAGAGCATTTGCAAAACCCAAGGAAACACTGGCTCTCATTGTTCCACCAAGCTTTGCTATGTCAAACATGTTACGCGTAGGCGTAATCCCCTCCCAGCAGCCTGGCTACAGCACTGGTGGAAATACCAGAGGAGTGGTACGTGGCACAAATGGCAATGGTTTGGACCCAGGGGCAGCTCAGTGACATGATTTGCCCTCTTTTTCCCCCCTGAATCTGGAGTGAAAGACAGGGAACAAAAGCATCTTTGCCAGTGATATCACCAAGTTTGGAAGCATCTCAAGATGGAAAGCCAATGGCAGTAGACCTGAAATCCTAAGATACAGTCACTATGTAAATGTTTTCAGTGTCATCCTATATCCCAGTGATGGACAGTAACATCTCCTTTTGGCTGTGAGGATGGAGCATTATAAGCAAGAGTTGTGGAAATCAGAACCCAAGGGTCCTAGGTTGAGTTTTGCTACTGAATCCCCTTCAGAGAGTGACAAGCTTCGTAATCCTCTCAGAGTTCCTACCACAGACTTGAGATATCTCTGGAAGCAACTCCATGGCCATGGAGCTCTGAGTGTGCAAAGGACACTTCAATGTGCTGGGTGTTTTTCTGGATCTTGGCCAATTTTCCTTGAGCTTCCTGCTCTGCCACAGGCTCCCAGTGTGAATTTGGGGCCGTGGGGCATCAGCATTTCTGTGACTTGGTCTCCCTAGAAGTAGATGGGAGATAAAGCCCTTCATCTATTGCACAGTAATGACACAAAAAAGGAACATCCCAAACATTGGAGAGAAGAGGCAGAAGACCAGATGTTCAGTGTAGCTGACTGGATGCATTTTACAAATGCCTTTCTAATCTTTAATCTAAGAAATTAGTAACTGAACAACAAATTTGTTGACAGACTGCCCTACAACAACCTCACATGCAAATCTCAGCCTCACAGCCATGTCTAATCCTTTGTTTCCAATAGGAAAAGGAGGAGAGGAAGCCTGCTCCCCTCAAAAGGAATGCAGAAGTAGAAATGAGAAGAGGATTAAACAAATTGTTTGGCCTGAGAAAACAGAGCTAAGTGGAGAAGAGTCAGCCCATCTGCTGATCTGCAGGATCAGGTTTTGGGTACAGCATCAAGTGAACAACTGCTGCTGCAGGAAATGGCACAGGTAACCTCATGGTCACTTTATTGAGGGATATCATCTGCCCTGTCCTGCCTCTGCTTCAGCCTGAGCTGGGTGCCTTCCTATCTGTGTCTCTGCCATTTCTTTCTCCAAACACACTGTTCTCTTCCCTGCTCCCTCCCAAAGTGCTGTGTGCTCCTGGCAGCTGTGTCCAACCCACTGCCAAGTTCTGTTCAGGAACTCTTCTGTCTATATATAAAAGTATTCTCTGGCCCTTTCAGGTTGCACAGGGCCTGTAAGTGTCACAAACTATCACATCAAGCAAACATCATGAAACCAAGCCACAAAAGCAGAGACTGCAACAAGAATGAAATCAACAGATGCTTCCCTGGCAGCAACAAACCTATCTTCTTACAGGGCAGTTAGAGAAGGGTCATTTTAACAGAAAACAGAGCTGAGTTTGAATCTAAACATTCTTTTTTCTTTTGTCTTTTTACCCAGAAAACTGTGAGCAGGTTTATCCTCAACCACTCTGATGCGCCGGGCACCCGCAGGGATCACGGCAGCTTCGATGTAACCTGTGGCAACAGAGGAGAGAGGAGTGAGAGCAGGGCAGAGGCAGCAGCCATTCCATATCTCCCCGTGGAAAACTCAACTCCAGGCTGGGGACTGAGTGAGAAACGTTGCAAATGGGATCCCTGAGCTGGCAGCCAAGTTTCAGTGCCATGACATGCATGGTCCTGACTCACAATTCAGCCCGAGAAGAGGGAGAGAAACCCACGAGTGCTGCTCAGTTGTGACTCCAGGCTTGTGTTGGGCCTGATTTGATCTGCACCCTCTGAATCACCCTGGTTTTCCTGCAGGGATGCACAAGGACACTGTGAAGTGTCACTGTCAGGAGCAACACTACACAGAACAGACCTTTGAAATGAAGTTTCCAACAGATGCTCCTGTTTTCTCCTCAAAAAAACCCCCAACCCTAGTCAAGGTTGTGGTCAGTGTCAGGAAGGACTCACTTCCACAAAACATTTTCATGACACTAAAACTAAACAGTGAGAATTAGTGGAACACATGGGGGGAAAATTGTTATCACATTTCAGCCTCATATAAAAATTCTGGAGGATACAATGGCAATGGTCTCCTTGGTATCAGGCTGCTGAATGGAATTCAACAGCTTAAATTTAATGCAACAACAGAGCTGAAGGTTTCCAAGGCCTGACCACTGCTCACCTCTAAACAATTTTTCTAACAGCAACTCTGACTAACAGAATAACTGTAAGAATAATTAGGAGCTACAAGGAAATGTAGCCTATTTTCCCATGCTAAAAGACATGTGGAGTTACAGGCTTGTTCCATGGGGTGGAAGTGGTGCCTTTAAACTACAAAGCAGAGGAACACAGAGCCCATTTCAAAGGTCTGGGAGCCAGGCAGAGTTTTTCCATTGGCTTCATTGGATTTTGAATCAGTCCTCTGTAAATGACACTAATCTCATCACAACCATGACTTGATTCCTTCTAATTGGCCACCCAGTTTACTTTGCAGTGTATCACTTGGCACCTTTTGGGGGTTATTGCTGTCCCCTTTCTTTTAGATGTTAAGCAGCTTATTCTGTATGTTCTGCTTTAAAGGGCTCTGTGAAACTGTTCTGTGTCAGTGATGCCTTTATGGGAATTGTGGGAAGTTCAGAGCCATGGGTTAGAGAAATGCTGGCATGAAGAGCAGTGACTCCTCTACATTCAGCAGTGTTTGGGGAGCTATTTTAGGGATGTAAGTGCAGCTGAAGGGCTGTGCTGATACAGGGGGGTCTCAAAGGATGGTGACAGCCTTATGCATGTCAGGAGTAAGTGATTCTCTTACCATTGTGACATGGAGTGAGACAGATGAGGATTTCGGGTCTCAGGCTGTGGATTCACTTCCTGAATATTCACTTCATGAATAAGGCTTGAGCTCTTGGGTTTTATCAGGTGCATTGGGCAGATGACTTGGGAAAGACACACTCCCTCTTGTTGTATCTGAATGACACTTTCATCTCACCCTTCAGCTCAGTTCTCTTTGCACTTGTTCCTCCTTACTTACTTCTCCCTTGACTCAGGATATCTCAGGAACAGCCAGCCATCCCTTGCAGGAAAACCAGAGAGAGGGGCAGCAGAGCTGCAAACCTTGTCTGTGCACAGAAGCCAGAGCAGTGGCTCTCCCAGCTGCTGTTACACACTGGGATTCACCAGGAAAAATCATTACTTCCAGGGTCAATTTTTTAAAGGCAATACCGAAATCTGTTATGAAATCAAAGCAAACAGATGTTGGGTTTTATTCTAGACATTGCCAGGAGTTGGTTTTTCAACAGCTGAGATACCAAGTTACAGTGAAACCTGAGTGTTTCAGATATCAAACATCCCCACTGCACCCCATGCACCTGCATAAAAACCCACCCAACCACCACCACCAGACATGAGCACCCAGCAAAGGTGTGACCAGGGACAGTCTATCAAAGGGGAGCAGCCCCTGAGACACATCTGAACACCCCTCTTAGCAAACCAGTTTGGAACATGCCCAAGTTTCAGGTAATTTAATGTACCTACTGGGGGACTATTTATTTACTTATTTATTTTTTAAGCCACATGCCAGATACAAACGCCCAGAGCTAAATCATAAAGGGGTTGGAGACAAAGTTACTGTGAATTTAGTGGAAGCCAGTCACTAACTTAGTGAACTTTGGATCCATCCCCTGACCCAGCAGCAGCCAGGAGTGTGTCACACTGCAGAGGTGAGTGAGCAGTGGAGCTGTGCTGCAGGCTCAGCTCGAGCCATAAATACACTCTCATTTCATCACTGTGCCATGAGAGAAACACCACGTGGAAAAGTTGATTTTCATGTTACTTTTTACAATAGTAAAGAGTGAAGTGTGTGCTATTAATAGTGTATTAGTTCTGGGGACTGTTTAGTTTGGTCTTATACCAGATTTTTCTCCTCATGTAATTTCTAATCCTGATTGATGGCTTTGGGGGGTTGTATTCACAGCTCCTGAACAAGAAGAAGCATATTGTGTTAACTCACTGAGACCACGTGGCACAAACCTGCCTGCTGACCTTCCCTCTCCTCTTAGAGAACTGCAAACTGCTTTGGAGCTGTATGATCCAACCTGTCCTTTCAGAGGTGAAGCAGAACTCTTGGGCATGTCCCACTGGGAGCATCTTAACCCTCTCATTCATTGCCTCCAGCAATACTGTGTGAGTTAGTGGTCAAATCCTACTGCAAACAGACTAAATATCATCCATGCAAATCTGCCACAGGAACACACTCGGGTCACTACCACCCCTCCACTCTGGTCCTGGGAGCTGGTGTGAGGCTTCTGGTCACAGATTCCTGATCTTTGAGATAACTGCACCTGGAAAACACCTCCAGTGTTTTCCAGGCACATTTTATTAAGCAAACTGTAACTGCAGATTGCCAGAAAGATTATCAAGTGTCAGCTAGAAAGACCAAAAAAAGTCTCAGCGTTGGCCCCAAGCCAAGGACTCTCAAAGCTCTGTCAGGTCTGAGGATAACTGTCTGCAAGGCAGGGGTTTGCAAGGTTGGGCTTAAAGCTCTGCTTTAAATGAGGAACTGGTTAAAGACTGACGAGATTTGGCAACTATCAGGCAGTATTTTTAGTAATTTCACCCATAAATCAGCCTGTTAAGATGAAGCTTTGAAAATACAACAGGAGAACTTCATTATTTGATAATTTATAGTGCTGTATGCAGTATACTCCACCTTGGGAACAGTTACTTTGGCACACACCAATCTTTCTGGATAATCTGCATTACATCAGTGTCTCAGGAATGTAAGACTGTGATTGAAGCAAATCCTAGATACAAATTATATGGTGTAACTCATATTAGGAGAGACACCAGAACAAAGAGGTGGCTTTGTCATCAAGGAGATTAATATGTGAACAGTGGCTACTGTATCTTCATTTAAATGCTGGAGAGATTTGCGAGAGGAAAGCAGCCCACACAGAAAAATCCATTGTTAGCCATTGTTATTACTCCCAGAAAGAACAGAAATTTAGTGTGAACTTCAGAATGTCACTGATCTGCTACAAAACTGTTCTTCTGGTCCACACTGCAATGAAAGACGGATTCTGAGGTAAAGGAAAAAGTATCCCATGGCTGGAAGTCCCAATCTCTGACTACTGCACCTTCACATCCTATCCCTGTACACACCAAAATCAGGTGTGAGAAAGTCAACAGTGCTCACCCCAGCACTAAACTTCCCAGAAAAAGTGCTTTGAACAAAGATCTTGGGGCAGAAGCCAAGGAAATCAGGCTGCCCTGCCTCCCTTCCAGCCATGGCCAGCACAGCTTCGGGAATATTTTAGGGATAAGCATCAGCTGGGCATGTCAGTCTCCATGACTCTTCCCACCTTGCACCTTTTGCTCAGTGCTATTTGTTGCAATGGAGTGAGAATTAGGTCTCTGTTGTCTAAACAGTTGTGATGATTCTCACTTGCTGTCACCTTGAGAACAAATCCTCCCTCGGCACCTGAACACTTCCAGCCATGGGACAGCTCATTTGGAAGGAAACAATTTCACTGGAGAGCCATGGATAGATTTCAAAGCCTCCTACTATTGCTGTGAAGGTGGTTGCTGGGATTTCTAACTTGCATGTGCTGCTTAAACCCTTATAAGTTGATATATAAACTTATAACCCTCAGAGTTAGCCCTAGGGCTCTATTTTCTCATCATTTAGATGCAAATCCTATTGATAAAAAAAGACTTTTTTTGTGTGGGCTAAAGATGCTTGTAGCCAGCACTCCTATTCAAATTTCTTTCAAGTAAGTGCTGGACAAGCAGCATATACAATAAAAAGCCTGCTTTTCCACTATCTTAAAAAGAAAAATTGCCAGCAAAGATGTATTCCATCTTTCCCAAAATTACAACAACTGGCATATCTCACCTTACTAAGTTCTGCCATTAAAAAAAAATAAATCCAAATATCAGTGGTCCTTCTTTTGAATCATAAGCAAACAAAAATCTTGATGTGGCTGAGAAAAATCAAGAGAGAGATGCAGGTCTCTGAGCAGCCAAGGCAGAAGATGAATCAGCTCCTCAACAGACACAAGTCAAAGAGCTGTCCTTCATTTCTAGGTGCCCTGAACAGTGGCAGGGTGACAGAGATGGACTTTAGAACAACTCTGTGTTTGTTTTTGAAAAATTATGTCACAGAAATAGGTACAGGGCAAGCTGCCAGTCAAAAGGAAAGCTCAGTCTAAACAGTGCATTCAGCTGGGCTGCTGAGGACAGCCAGCTGCACACAAGTGTATGTGATGTTCAGCATCATAAATAAAGGCTTTTGACCTCCTCTCCAACAGAAAAAGGGAATCCATTTCCAGTTGGATCACCCTGGATCACAGGTGGTAAGATCTGAACTGTTGGACCTCCCATGAGGCACTTTGAACATTGCAATATCATCTCCCACCAGGGTGTCAGAACCTCTGGGACATTAAAGTCAGGAAAAAAAGAGAAATAGGCCTGGTTCTTTTTGCTGGGTTAATGAAAATTTGGCTTTCTTTCATGCAGGTTCTCTATCAGAAAAGGATCTGTACTTTGTATCTCTGACAAAGCAAGTGAAACAGTAAAAGGGCTTGAAGTTTATCCATGGCTTTTGACACCAAATTTCCCCAACTAATCCAACCAAAAGAAGACAAAGAACCAACACCAAAGGATGTCACCAACACCCACTGACACTGCAAACAGCATTCAAGTATCTTACACGAGAAACACTTGGGAACAGCCTTTGCCTTTGCCATCACACATGTGGAAACCTTCTTACAATGACTATTGGTTACTGAGAAACAGAAAGGGGTTGGCAGGGGTTATGTTCAGGTCACAGGGCTCCACAACATCATTTGCAACCCCAGGGCACAGAGGGACCAACCCTGCAGAGCTGCTGAGCATCTGGCCCAGGGGCTGCAGCTGCAATTCCCTGAACAGGTACCATCCAGAACAACCACTGTCCTGATGTTTGAGGTCTGTTCTCTTCTGAAATCATAAATTGGGGTGTTGGCCTTGACTTGGATTGCAGGAGGTTCGTGGGGATTTGCAATCATTTACACATCCAACCTTGGATCTGTTACCACAGAATACTGTGGGTTCTCCTTTGCCCCAGCTTCTGTCAAATGCTTGCATATATTTGTTACACTGTCAATTTAAAGAAAAAAGGCAATTTTTTCTTAAATAATCTCATGTTCACTTGTGATACCCCAGACCCAGCCCTGGAGCTCTGCCTACTGTATGAGATTCAGTGAGTTCACCTGAGGACCTGATTCTGCAAAACAGCAGTGTGTGAACAGAAACTGATGGGAGTAGATGCTAAATTTAATTACCTTTCAAATTAAACTAAAAAAAAATAATCAAAATATCTAATAAATGTTTATGAGATTATAATGGCAAGAAACCTAATTATCTTCTAGATAACGTGAGATGGGTAAAGGTGGAAACATTGCACTGACAAAGCAACATTTTGAAAGGTTTGTGATTCTGAGATGATCAGCAAAGAATCCAAATGCCTGAACACTATCCCTGAGCCAGTCAGGAATCCCTTCTGACTGGGCTCCAGGGCTCTGGGGGTGAAAGCTCCTGCAGTGTCCTGGCAGCCAGTTAAGGCTCAAACTGTTCTGTTCCAACAGCCTTGTAAAGTCACCACCCTGGAGCAGCCTGTCGAGCTGGAAACGGGAGCAACCTCCTGGCAGTGACCCAGAAATTTCTTAGTTATCTGCACAATATGTTTTGTGGACTCATTGGGAAAGATAAAAGATAGTTTCTCTTCAGGAGCATGTAAGAAGTTCATGAAAGCTCTACAGTCTGCTACAGAAATGGAGAATAGCTTTTTTTTTCAATAGAAACATGAAAATTTTCCCACCATTTGCATCAAATGTAAATGCCTTGACATAAGTAGGTGGAAAATAACTGGGACAAAAGAGTCAAAGGCACTAATGGCGGCCATTCAACAGATTGGCCAAGCAATACCACAGCACAAATATGCTCCAGAGAGATGTGGTGCAGGGGGAAATCCTACCTGCAGCTCAGAGGAGGAGCCAGATCCCAGCTGGCTCCAGAGGTAATGAGGAAGAGGAGGAGGATGCAGAGGAAGAGGTCAATAAACAAATCAGAGCCTCAGACATCAGTGCTGAAACCTCAATTAAAGGAAGCTGCTGAGCACTGGTCCTGCTTTGGTGACCAAACAGAATTGAGTGTGTGTTTAAAGAAGATCTTTATGTGCTTTGTGGAACTTAGTCCTTGAGTAGCACGTGTTGAATGTGGAAATTCTGTATCTACTGAATGTGAAATAATTTTTTTTCTGGAAAATTCCCTCCTCTTGGGGCAGCTTGCAAGTTCTGAAGGTGGCTTTCCCTGCCTTTGCCTGATTAGGATGAGTGATAACAGGTTTCTCAGAAGTGCAATAGAGAAACCCTGGAACAAAGACTAATTCAAACACCAAGCTGTACATACATTAATGTTTAACAAGAGAGGGAAATGTCTTAACTCCAAGTGGAAGCTCCTGTATCCTATACTGGATAGTACTGCTGGCAGGGAATCAGTAAAAACATTCAGAGGGGAGTGCTCCTTCCTTTAGCTGAGATATCCTGATTATAACATGAATCATGTACAACATGCAACATGCATCATTCTGAGCTCCCAAAGAGCTCCAAGACGGTGCTGAAATCCAACCTCCCTCCCACTGCAGAAGACACTGTGATTTTGTCTCTTACTTAAAATCATCAGCACCAGTAGCACTAAAAATGAGAAACACAGCTTCATCCTGAATTTCAGACAGAGGCAATGCCTGGTGTGTGAATAAGAAGCAGGCAGGACACCACATTTGAAGTGAGCTGGGTTTTGGGTTGTGTTCATTGTGTGTTCACCGGAGCAGACGAGTCCAATGTTATCCAAGAAGAGCTGTTACTACCACTCTAACTCCCCTCTGAGGGTTTACTCACCCATCCCCTTGGTGTGGTTGAAGTCTCCTTTCACCACCTTGCAGGTTTTCCCATCCCCACTGCAGATCCCACAGCGATCCTCCTTGGCAGCCGAGCCAATGATTCCATCGCAGCCGATTTTCTGGTGACAACAACCAGAGGGGCCCCGTTATTTTGTTTGCAAGGTTAGAGCAGATCTAAACACCGAGGTCAAGACTAAGATTGACATCTGACTGAAAGCCTGAATGGGAAGGAAACACTGTGAGTCAGGGGAGCACTCAGCTGGAACGGTGGTGAGTTGGTTATTCAGCAGCTCCCTCCTCTAACACTCAGAGCAGGAACTTTGATTCAGATTTAACTGGAGAGAGTCTCACAAACACTAGTTATTCCAGGTATCATCACAGATTTCACACTATCCCACTCTAACTTCCTTCAAACTCAACAGTTTCAAGTTTGTAAAGCAATTTCCATCTGAGGAGCTCAAAGACATCCCAGAGAAATGGACCATAGAGAGAACAGAAAAATGTGATTTCCTCAAATGAGAATAACCCAAGTAATAAAAATCCTGGTCATAGCCCTTCAATGCACAAAAATGCAGAGTAATTACAATTCCACTGAATGAGTTCTGTTTCGGATGGGGATCTTAACAGGAAAGGTAACATTCAGTTCTCTTTACACTTCTGCAATACCTGAAAAAAGAGCTCATTAATCAGATGGCTCAAAATACCTGCAATGCAAGAGCAGTTCAATGGAAGCAGGTCAGGTTCATATTTGGCCAATTCATACCATAAAATTGCTTACACAATAATGAAATTTTCCATGTGCTTGCACTGTATTAAGCATAGACATTTGATTGTAAAACAAATAATAAATTCTAACAATTTCACTTCATTTTAAATGGTATTTTTTCATCACTTTGTACACCTACCTAAACTTCTTCCAATAAAAACCTGAAGTTTTGCTTCCACAGATGAGAATTCCTAGAATAGTCACAGTATTCTCCCTGTTCCTATCGGGATTATCACCATAATATTCCTTATTCACAAAGCATTTGCAGGTTACGATGGTGAACATTCTACATCTGTAGATCTTGATGTTGACAAGACTTATTGCCATTAATCTACATGAATTGTATTCTGTCCATGTAAGACCCTCTAAAGAATCAGCAATTCCCTCTTTATTCATAAATTTCTCCTGAAATAAGAGTTGTCATTATGCAAATTATTAGCAGCAATTGCAGTATTAAAAATGAGTTAAAGTTTTATTCTGTGCAGATAAACAGTTTCTTGGCAAATGAATTAGCAGGACTGTCACTAATAAGACTTATTTGAATAAGGCTGTCGGGTCTCTCCCTTCTTTGCCTTGCTATAATGAAGCCAGGGGAAAGTTGGAGAGATATCTTAGGGAACGATCAAAACAACAAACATTTTGAAAAATAGGGTAAAGCAGGGAAATATTAAGAGGACTTGGGCTGTTTATCTGAGCCTGTCTGCGTGTAAGCAAAGTAATTTGGAGCTGAACTCCAACATTCCGCTTGTTTCAGGAGACACTGGCCACTGCCTGAGTCCAGATGTGCTCAGGGATCAAAGGCTGCCAGTGCTCAGACGTGTGCTGAGGCAGTTTGTCTGGGTAAATCATTAGAGGCAGACACATGCTGAGAAAGGCTGATCATCCCAAACACAGAGCAGGGAAATGCTGCTCATTAACCAGCACTGCACGTACGGGGGTGCAAAGAACTTCAGGGAAAAAAAACTCCATAAAGGGGAGTTGAAAAAGGTAAGAAGAAGAGTATGGAGTTCCTGGCAGTTGCAATTCTCAAGTCTTAACTTCACACCCTTGTCCAACAAATAATTTTGGGATATTGAATGTGATTCTGCCCCCAGAACAGAAGGATGTCCCAGCAGTTCTCCTTCCAGGAAAATTGGGATGATTTATTAACGGGGCTGCTGAAAGGCAGCTGGAAATAAATGCCTGCCTGCCACCCTGCTGGGATCCTGGAAAGGCTGTGCTTCATTTCAGGCTCTAGTGCTATCTTTTATTGTGCTGCATTGTTATTAGCACTATGTGAGCACACACATGAATAAAGGGAATATAATGAGTGTTGAACCGCACTTATTCCCAGTGCTCCAGGAGGAGTCTGCAGGGCTCTAACGGAGGCAGGGGAAGAATGGGGAGTTAGCAATCACATGCTTTGCATTTACACTGGAGTTTCCCAGATAATGGGAACCAGTGCAAGCCAGCAAAGCCTTGGGAAGAATGAATGCCCCTCCTCTGCCACTGGGGTACCAGATAAGCCTTCTCCTCCCACATCTACTTGGTCACTGACACTCTTGGACTTGAGAGACCCTCTCTGAGGGCATGGAAAGAGCATCCACTGAATTCACAGATATAACTCCCAAAACCTTTGCTGTTTTTTACCTTTCATCTTCACCCTAATTCCCTGTGAGTGAAGGAACTGGGAATGGTCCTTGCAGCCTTTCCTTCAACGGCACCATCTCTCCCATTCGCAGGGATTGATTTTCTTCAATCCAGGGCTTGAGGATTGAAGCCCCCAACAGATCTGGGCCAGGAAATGGCTTCTTACAAAGGAAAATCTTTCAGAGAACATAACACTTTTCTTTCTTGGCTTCAAGATGAAAATTGGTGCATTCTTGATACTTTATGGGGGAAAAATACCTTGGAAGCACTTTACTGTTGTCTACGTAAATATTAGAGCCCATTTCCCTCTCCCCAAGCCTTCCAACCATTTCCAAACTGAAAGTGCATTTAATAACAGTACATTTAATAACAGTACATTATGAAACAGCTTTGGTTAAGATTTGACAATGGATTCCAAAAGCTGTAAAGTCATTTAGAAACACATTACAGTGACCACCTCAGTCAATCAGATCCTTCGAGGACTTTCCACATGGAAAATAAAGTCACTCTTAAAACAAGGGAAAGAGACAGGGCTGGGAGAGCAAACCAATCTCTTCTGAGAGGAAAGCACCTGCCAGTCCTTGGGCTGTTAATTGAGAGATACTTCCAGGTTTCTCCAAGGTGTGAAAGCCTCTGAGATTCCAGCACTGGGTGGAAAAATTGGAGCCTCACCAAACCATCGAGTCTGTCCATCATCAGCTTCTCACCAACATGATGCTGTTTGTGTTTGACTGCCACTCATTAAACTACAGAGCTGTCCTCAACCTGCTGAAAGCCTTCCAAAAAGTGAGGTCTTAATTAACCACATGCAAGGGGAAAAATCCCAAGTTCCACTGCTCAAAAGTCAAGTTTTCATAGTGCAGAAAGAATTCCTTAAAACCCAAATGGTTCAAGGGAGTTGTTTGATCTTTACCATCTCTCACTTGCTCTGTGCTGCTCCCTGTACAGTCCAGTGCCAACCAAGGTAAGAGGATTTACCAAACTGAGAAGCAGAAAGGGGAAGCTTTACATCCTGAAGAAAGAAAGACCTTTTAAGTAACATCCTGTGTGTTTTCTGACCCAGGAGTTATCCATGAGTCCGTGGACCAGCCCATCCAACAAGAGCTGGATACTTTCAGTTCCATCAGCTTTGAATGGACTGGTGAGAAGGGAAGCAGTTTTAAAACATGGAAATGCTGGCAAGACACATAAAGATAAGTCTTTTGAGGGTTCAAGAACTCAGCATGGACAGTCAGAAATGTGTCCACAGGTTTCCAATCCATCCTCAACCCAGGCAGTCTCCTACTCTGACACCACATTTTGGAACTATTCATTGACCTATAAATTGGCAGGTAACTGCACATTTGCTGAGCCAAAGGCCTGAAATTAATTCTCTTTAAGCTGCTATCTCAGTCCACCCTTCCTTCTCTCCCTCCCCCTTCTTCTCATTTTTATAATTAAACATCTGAAAGTACTGCTTGTTGGGTGGTATTTCCAGCTTCAGTCATTGCTGGCTCCAGCATAGGAAAACTCCTCTTCTCTTCTGAATACAGATCATTTGGATTCTTCTGTGTGAACTACTTTCTGTATTGCTTGGCTATTTTTTAATGATATTTTTATTTGTATTTTCAATGGCTGTGCAAGAGCTCAATTGATACAGCCTGTGTGAGTATGTTTTGCTACATAAACACAATTATTTTTGTTATATACACCCACCCTGTGTAAGAAATGACATTGTAGGCTCACAAAACTGTAATGCTTCCCATATGCTGAACTAACTAGCTGTCTCAATGGATCAAATATAAATATTGATGCAATATGTGCCATTTTACAAATTAATCATGTACAGAGCACGCTGGTTATGACAGATTCACCCACACTGCCAATTCTTTTTGTCCATAATATCCAATGGCCATTGATACCTCCAGGGATGGACCACATGAAACAGGAATGTCCAAATGTGAGCAACTGAAATTCAGATCTGAGGGGAAGAGAATTCTTATTTTTCTGCTTTAAACACTTTTGCCCTTCTGGAGGGTTGTGAGTGTCTGTGAGGATTTGTACAAGATGTGAGTCCTGGTCCCTAATCAGGCAGTTACTTCTATTTCTGTTCCACAAGAAATTTTGGGTGATGGATTGGAGTCCATGTAGAATTTAGCTCAGGAAATTGTAATTGTAATTTAGCTCCTGTAACTTCCCAAGCCTTCAGATTTTACATGAGTCAGGGCAGCTGTGCTGGAACAGGAGCTGGACACTGCCTATTTTAAATTAGCATTATCTCATCTGCTTTGGATCTCCAGTGACACCTGACCATTGACTCTGTGCTTAGATCCCTCAGCAGTTCGTGGGGTTCTAGAAACAATAATTCTTGGTAACCCCTTATTCACAAAGAGAGACTGAAGGTTATGTGTCAAAACCCCTGTGTTCCTGAGAGAACATGCAAATAATACAAAGCCTTTTCCCATCCCAGGAACTCCTTTGCTTCTGTTCTATTTTATGCTTTTCATGGGATAACATGGAAGAAAAATAAGGGGAAGCAGCTTGTTTTACTTTTTTTCACACCCCACTGTAAAGTACACTTAAAAACTAGTAAGATATCAACAGTCTTGGTTTTGTCACTACACTTTACTCACCAAAAGCCCTGATACTCTTTTTAGCCCTCAGATTACAAGGCTACAGACCCAGAAATGGAAAAAAAAGGCAATTATACAACAGGTTTCTGTAGTTCAGAGAATCCTGGATTTTGTGCACATACACTAAATAATTTATCAAAGTACAATGCTAAGCCAAGTTGTTGTAGGGAGACAAGCTACCTAGTCTGGAACATCTTGTACCACAGTTTGTAGTGCAGGAATATGAATAATACACGGAAAATACTCAAGTGAGGAAACAAAGCCAGAACTGGATGTGTCAATCAAATGCAAAAAGTGGGTACTGAGTGTGTAGAAAACTGTTTGCCAGCAGCAGGTCCAGCAGACCACTCCAATTTCTCCTCTGCCACCTGTGGCCTTCTGCTGCCACTCTGCCTAACCAGTTTGCAGAAATTATTTTTGAAAATCTGTCCATTTTCCAGTTTATGCTCCCCTTTCACACTGTATGACAATCACTTTGGAAAGAAAGTAGTTCTATAACACTGTTGTTGTGCCAGGACAGTCCAGTATGTGGCTTATTATCATTGTGGATCCACCAGCAAGTTAAAGGAGGTGCGATATGACAAAATATCAATGAGAAAACCACAGACAGAGCCAAAACATCTTCACCTCTTCAACTGCTAAATCACAGCAAAGACTGCCCTTGATCTCCAGCCCAGTCCTGCTATAAAAGGAGGTCTCTCTTTTCAAAGAGACCTTAGATTACATCCTCAAGTAGACTCTGTAGCCCCCACTGGAAAGTTCTCATGCTATCATGAGTCTCAGACTAATCCTCCTTTGAGAAAAGCCAGCACAAAGCCCTGTGTGTCACCACCCTCAGCTGAGCAGCTGTTCTTCTCCTCACACTACTGCCCTGGCACATCTGACACTTTTTTTAGCTCTGCTGCTGCCTCAGTTTTGTGTCAACCTCAGCAGCACAGAGTGAAGGTCTGTAAGAGGTTAGAAAGGGCTCTGCTTCCACGAGTGTTGCCTCATGGAACGCACGCACAACAGTCTTGAAGAAGAACAAAACCCTCAGGGAATCCTCTCTCTGAAAGCCACTTGTCACTGGGAGAGAAATATGAGAAGATAAAGCCACTGTGAGCTGCAGGTTGCACTGCCCTGCCCTGTCTCACCAGGACTGAAATGACTGAGAAAGCAAACCTGCAAAGCCCAGAGGAGCCCTCACCCTCCTCTTGTTCTGCAGCCTGCTACAGATTTTCTGTGACTGAAAAATCCCTGGAGAAAGTAAATTTTCCTTGCTAGAGGACCATGTGCCCTTCAAGAAGGGAATGTCAAATCCCTATATCCACAGTGAACAGGGGTTCCAGTCTGCTCAGGAGGGGGTAAGGATAAGTGCATTTGAAATGTTCGACCTCAAAATCAACTCTAATAAATAAAGACATGACAAAATTGGAGGAAGAGCTTACGATTCATAGAAAAAACAAGGATTATAAAAAGTCTAGTTGATTTAGGAACTCCTATGCTAAATTTAGGGCTGACTTTGCTCTCTGGTGCTTCTAGGCTTGATCAAAGTAATAACCAAGTTTACTCACTCCAGCTGCCTTTAGGTGTAGGGGATAAATACAGGGATGATTTTGTTTCAGGGATAGAAAGGCTGACACCAAAAGGCTTCACTCATACTGTTTAAATCTGAGCTCAGCTCATGGCTTTAAAATGAAACTGTAATAACTTCCCGAAGTACAACTGAAGGAAAACTCTCTTCCCTTAGTGCCCAAATGCTTCAAAGAATCTGTTCCTGCTTTCCTTCTCAAAACCCTCCTCTCATTGCAGCAGTGTTTTCTCCGCCGTGTTCATCTACATCCATTTATCACCCAACAATGATGCATGAGTTCCATTTAGGAGCATCTAATGAAGGGAAAAGATCTATTACATTTCCTAGACTAAATGTTCACAGGCAATGGTTACTGCTAATTTGTCTGTTACACTGACAATGTGTCAATCCTGCCTTTAAGAGCCTTTAGCTGGAAGGATGACATAAGAAAATAAATAACAGTAATACCACCCTCTGATTTCAGCACTTATTCTCTTCTCCAGGCCCCCTGCAATGCTTGTTGCCAGGCTTTGTCTATGCTGGGTAAAGAAATAAGGAGAAGAGTAATTAAATGAATATGTCAATTCAATTGGTTTAACAGGCAGCTGGGGAGACAGGGATCTGTGGCAAATGGGGTGCACAGGCACATATGGCAAATCTCAGCACTGCACTGCATGGAAGGCAGAGGAGTGTTATAAATGAGTTCCCAAGGCTTTCAGATCTGCTCAGCTTCAGCTGATCATTCTGCATTCTTTCTCAGCCAGATGCAAATGGACTGACTGTTCTGAGCTGTCAGCACCTCCCTGCACAGTCCCAGGCAGTTGCCCCCGACTCAGGGTGCAATTTGCTTCTCGTGAGGTACCTCCAAGGCTCTGAGCTCACCAAGGAATTCATCTGGAGGGAGCTACTGCTCCTCCCTGCAAGAAGCAAACATACACTGCCATAATGTCTGATTTAGCACTTGTGGCTGCTCTGAACTGCTGGAGCAGTAAAGCTGGCCAGCCCAGAGGAATGGTCAGTGGCACACAGCTGGAGGTGCACAGCTGGCCCGACTATAAAAGGTTATTAATGGGTTTTTTCCAGTTTTTTTTTTTTTCAGATACAGCTAAAAACAGGGAAAAATTAAGTAATGTGGGATGCCCCATGAACCTGGCTCTATGCAAAGTACTTCGAATTATAAAGAATCAAACTTGTACTGGCTCCCAGACTCTTGCTGTTCAAATTAGAAAGACTGAATTAAAAATGTCTCTTCAGCAGCATTTGATAGGAAACAGTGGGAAGTGTCTCCTGCAGTAGTCCAGAATTCAATCCAAAGATTTTTCACTTCTCTACATTGCTATAAGTAAAGCTGCTTTGCTATAAGTAAAGCTGCTTTATGCCTCCAAAGCCTCTCTTACACCCAGGTGAATATTGTGCTTATCCATCTCCCTGCCTGGAAGGTTCGAAGCAATAAACTCAGTGGCTCTCAGTCCCTGTTCACAGAAATCAGAATAATGCCAGATTTGGTGTGCCCTGAACAAAGAGGAAGTCCTACCACAGGATACAAATCTAGATAAGGAGAAACTTAGAAGCAGAACTGCCAGGAATTATCCAGCACTGACAGGGTTGCAGTAGCCAAGTGAACTGTCTTTCACATCACTCTTGTGTGTGCAGCAAACTTTGAACACATGTTACATGATTAGGAGAGAGAAAACCCACGAAGTGTTTGCCCTGTCACAGTGTCTGTGACAAATGACTTGAACCCAACTGCAACACATCACTAGGAACACCCATGAATGACTTCCTGTCAATTATGATCTTTAAATAAACATTTTCCTCTCTCCCTTTCCTTGTCCAAACCTTAAATCTCCAGTTAGTATGGGTCTAACAACTCCATTAAATTTTCAAGGGACCTGTAACACCAGCTCTAAGAGATGCCCTCCCTAAGCATTCAGTGTGCTGTGTTACAGTCCCACTGCCCAGCAAAACAGGAGAGTTTTATTACAAAGATCTCCCACACCTAATTTTGGTTCTGTATGTAACTTAGAGAGAAATAATCATTGCAGTGGTTACAGGCCATCACACCTTCACTCTAAGGAAAAGAGAACCAAATCTGAAGACTCTGAAGAATCCTCTTCATTTCCATCCTTGACTTGTCTGACCAGAGGCAGAAGGAAAAAGCATGTTCAGGGTTTGGCCAGTCCATCCAAGGACAACCAAGGGGATACTGATTGTCCCATTTGCAGGACAGCAGAAGAAAACCTCCCCTAGATACTCTCTAGTTTGCTCTTTATGTGACCCAAGTGAGAGGCAAAAAACCCTGGCTTTGTCTGTGCTCAGAGCTGCAGGATCTGCTCTTCAAACCTGTATTCTCTAGGGGGGAGCTTTAAATCTAATTCTGTGGGAGAAAGGGACCCTTTTCATTACTGCAAGGGCAACAGGCCTTTTGAACAGCTTTGATGGGCCCCTACAGTAACTCACCTTGGCATCACAGAATAACAGTCAACAAAAATCACACAGGGGAAGCTACTGGCTCGAGCAGCTGCAGGAAACAAGGGGCAACTGGTATTGAAAAGCTTCCTCAGTGTTTCCAGGCAGGAACCAGGTGGACCTGAAAAGCATCACGATTCTGGCAACCTACCACATGTAACAGGGTAGTGACAATTTGTAATCCAGTTTGCAGCTCCAGTGTTTTTTTCAGTGATTCCTCTAATAGCCAAAAAGGAGCAGTTAAGCAGGCCAAGATTTCCACTCCCATCTGCTCCCCTCACAGAAGTCCCTTCCCACCCAAGCCATTTGATGACTACACGCAAGCAAATGTGATCACTGAACATTCCCAGCTGTTCAGCAATAATATCATAACTGGGGCATTTTAATTCTCAGCCCAAGACACAGGGTTGTGGAGCACTTGTAGTGGGTCTGATAAAACAGGGTTGTGCTTACCTCACAGACAGCCCCCCAGCCACCCCCAGAGAGGCTGCCCAGGCTGTACCTGACACTAGAAATAAAACAAGAGAAGGTTACTCCACCTGGCACTTGCCATGTACACAGAGGTCGGTCTCGTAGGGCCCACAGGGAGTCCCATCCAGGACTCTGTCTGTCACCAGCACGGGAGAATCCTTCCCCAGGGGAGAGCAGAACAGCTCACATGGCTTATCTGGGAAAAGAAACACAACATCTGCCTTTAGGAACAGCACAGACAAGTGTTGGAGGCAATGGGGATGCATTCTCTGCATGAATGGCTTTGGGTATCTCATCTTCGAAGGAACATCAGCCTGTCAATTCAGGCCTGGCATTTCCCCACTTCCAAATATCAATATTCAAAGGGTTACACTGATGAGATCGGGCTTTTAAGGTACAGAAAACCATTGAGTCAATACACTTTCAATGGTCTGAGAAGAATGATCAAGTGACTGTGTGTGTGTCTCAGGATACAGCCACTGATTTTAGAAGAACAAGCTCTCCAGTCCCTTTCTCCTCTTGATAGACCAACTTCTTGCATCAGTGTGCCAGTAAGAACACTTATATACCCACATGTAAAGCATTCTTGCATTCATATTACTTACTGTTTTCTTAAACTGGTATTTGTGGCCCATCAAACATTCCTGGCAGCAAACTATGCTGCTAGAACAGCTAGAGAAAGAACCCCCAAATAATTGCAAATACATCAGTAGAGAAAAGTTGTATCTTTCACCCATGCTAATGACAATCACTAGCTATTAAGACATCACTTTGGAAAAGCTATTATGTTTAGCTAGAGAAGGAGTTAAGTAAAAAGTCCTTTTCAAACATTTGTATTATTAACTGGCAGCATTCAGCAGTGTCAGGGTTTGCTGACTGCCTCTGCCATATGTTTAAGTAACAGATATTTAGGCAATATAATGTTTTTCCTCTGGAGCAGATTCTGCTACTCATGGACTTCATCCAAGGAAGAATCTACAGACCCTCAGCAGCCCATAGTTCCTGACTGAAAATGGAGAAAGGAATGAAACAACTCACCCCTGGAAAAAACTGGGAGAGTTTTCTGTGACTGAAATGAGTCCAGGAAGTAGCTCTGTATTGTGCATTCATCCAGCAAAACTATTTAGGAAGTGGGGTAGAGGGGAACAACAAGCAAAATCAGCCTGAAGGAATTGTGCTCTTGGAGGGTTTGCTGTGGGAACTGAAATGCTGCCTGTGCTCTTGTCCTGGCACCAGAGCTCATCTGTCAGTGCTGGCACAGGGAAGGGCTCATCCAGTGTCTGGTCTTCTGGTGTCAGTTCCAACACCACCCTCCCCTGTGCAAGGATGTCTTTGGGATGACCAAGTGAGACCAGCCTGGTGTGCTTTTCAGCAGAGTGCAGGGAAGGATGTTTACTCTTCCAGAAAGGACATTATTTCATATCCACCATAATCTGGTTGAATAGCAGATGAACAGCAAGATCCAGCACAGGAAGCATTAAAGGAATGTAGGTAGGACAGGCAATCATGCTGACAGGCCCAAAATTGACACATATCAAAAATGTCCCAGGGAACCCCTCTTTTTTTAGTTCCAAACCAACTTGAACTTTCTAATGTTTAAATGCCCAAATACCTGCCTGTTCAGACTGGGAATCAAGTTAAGGCACTTCTCTCCCAGCATTACAAAAAGAGGAGCAAAGGACTGACAGCTCTGTATGTTCTGTTAAGAAGACTCAAAGAACAGCAGGGCAGCACCAAGAACAACTCATTGTACTTAAGTCTTTCAGTTGCAGGTTAGGGGGACATTTTCTAACCTTCTTACCAACAAATGGGAGCCCTGCAGACGAAATCAAGATGCTGCAGTGAAAGAACAGCAAAAAATTCCAGAGGAAGATGAAAAAAACCTCACCATCAACGATGACAGCTGTCAGGAGGCTTTTCTTCTTGTTGGTGTACCTGTCATGGGCCTGGCACTGCTGGTCCCTGAAGCTTGGCACACCTTTGGGGCAGGGTAAGTTCTCACACACCGTGTGCTCCACGCTGGCTCCACGGCAGTTCTTCCCACCTGGCCCTGGGCTGTGGCAGGAAAGACAAACCAGGGTCAGCACCAAACACCCAAGGCAGAGGCAGCAACCCAGAACATTTCACCTTTCTCCTCCCACCATTTGCTTTGCCTCTGCCTCAGACACTCTTAATCAAGTCTGCTCAGCACGTGTCCTCTAAGGTTGTCTTCAGCAGTTTGAAATTAAGATAACACAGAAGCAGCTACAACCTGCACTGTAAACAGGGCACCCAGAAAAAAATCTGTGCAGCAGATAATCTCCACCCATGAAAACCATTCCATTTTACACATTTGTTTTCTAAACATGCAGGAAAGGCAACTACTCCAACATGGGGATTAAGCATCTGCAAAACCTATTTGTTCTTGTTTATGAATCCCCAGAGAAGAAGGAAAACTCAAACTCTCAACAATAGCCTGCATTTTCTTTGCAAAATAAAACAATACACAAAAAAACAAACAAACAAAAGAGACTGGGCCATCCTAACAGATAATTTCTTTAGCTACTTGCTGACACTCTCCTGAATTTGTCACATACCTATCTCTCCCCAGCTGTAATCAGTGAAGATGGATAAGGTCATGTTCTTACTCTTCTTTAACAGATGGCTATAAAAAGCAACTCCAGCCAAATTCCAGTTTTTAGCAGTAAGGCAGTTCATTCCAAAAGCTTCTCCCCCCTCCCTCCCTGAAGAGCAATGAACATCAGGTTATATCACTCAGCTAATTGGAAAGCAAGGCCCTCATTGTACATTATTTATTTGTGTCAGTGGTCATAGCAGGAGTTGCCCTGTTCATGTACCACTGGCCACAGGACTGGGCCTTTGATTTCCTACCTGTGCTGGCCTGGATGAATCCAGCATTTGGTGCAACAGAAATGTGTGAGTCTTCACAGAAAAGCTTAATGCCAAATCCCAGCCTAGATCAAATTTTTACAGTAGCTCCATTAATCCCAGAACGAGTGTTTGGGGTGTTTTTTAATGGAAATGCTGATCTCCAGTGACACTGGAACATCACAGAGTCACCAGCACAGCCTGGACATCGCCTGCATGCTCTGCTGACACCTCCCTCTGCCATGGACATGTGTGAGGCAGAAGCTGTGCTGGGAGTGCTGCAGAACCTTCTGGGAGGATTGTCTGTGCCTCAGACTGTGGGACAGACACTGTGTCCAGATGCCTGGGAGCACAACACAGGCTCCTTCCTACACAGACCCTGCACTCACATGAACACACCAGACACACAGACTTTGGTTTCAGCACCATCCCTCTGGCTACAGCAGAAGAGATGGAGCCACTGGATGTAGGTGACTGTGCATGTTTGTGGGTACAGGGAAAACACAACAACAAAAGGGAGCAGTCAGAACACCCAAAGAGTAACAGAGCACCCTCTCAAAAGCAGAGGATCAAGTGGATGGCCATGGAGCAGGAGACACAGCAGGACAACTATTTACATCAGCAGCTGCTTTGGTTTTTATCTTCAGATGTCAGTAATTCATGAGGGAATTCCCATGAGTTTGCCAGTGCAGACTGGAATCAAGCAGCTCTCACTGTTGGCAATATGGTCACTGGCAATACTAAAGTAGCAGCTAAATCCATCAGGAGAGGCACTTATGGAGCACCCACCATTCCCAGACAGTGGAAGCTGCAGGAACTCCAGGCCTTTTGTCCAGTGCTCCTCTGTTCTGCCCTTCAGAAGCCCGGCCTGTCTTCCCTTTCTAATTAAGGAGTAAAATGAGCTGCCTCCCCCAATGTAATTTCTCCCAAACTTCAAGACTTGCATGCACTCATCAGCCATAAAACAACAGGGCATCCTGCAGATCCAGGGCAAGTTTCTACTCCCAGTAACCCTACAAAGAAAACTGTATACCCAACTGGACCTTCTCATCTCAGCTCCCCTCTGTCCAACAGCATCATATATTTGGTAGCACACTGCTGCTTTCTACTACATTAACCCTTGCAAAACAGCAGAAGAATATCCAGGATTTATTCAAGGGGTTCATGACAAGCAGATAAACAGACATGGACAGGCTGTCAGAGAACTGGACAGCACACAGCTCTGCCATGCTCTGTCTGGGTTGGGAATATAGAATTTTTTATTTTTATGTAACTGACCTCTGGAATAGTATTTTGGTATCACAGGCCTTGAAAAAGGATCCTGAAGGTTTCATCATGCAAGAGGAACAGCAACAGACACTCTCTCTGGTCTCCCACAGACAATTACCAAGCACTTGTTCCTACACCTTTCTCTTCCTGCTTCACTTCATTTTTGTGTCCCTTCATCCTTGTGTCCCTTCCACCTTTCCAAATGCTGAGGCCACGAGTTTGGGCATTGGAAAAGAATCCAAAGGGAAGGATCTCTGTAATGCCAGGTCCCAAGCCCTGTGTACTGTGAGCTCAAGCACTGCCTGGGATTTCCAATAAACAGAGTAATTCCAGCCCACCTTGGCACACGCCTCAAACAGTGACTGTGTGAGATCTCCTGGTAGACAACTTCACAGCCACCTTCCACTGTATTTATGCCAAGAGAATCCACCCACTAATGGAACTGAAGAAATCAAAGCCCATTTATACTGCTGTGACCCTTTTACACGACAGGAGGGGACTGAAGAAGGTGTGGAGACCTCATTTAGATGTTCTCTTTAAGCCAGTGGTTTTCTCTTCAATCCCCCTGCACAGCAAGAGTCCAAAGCCCAGACAAGAGCAAGAGGCAGCACAGCTCCAAAGGCTGCACGTGCACACTGGCTCATGACACACTCCTTACAACCATGTGGAGGCAATGCATGTAAATGCTCAAAGAAATTACTGAGAGGAAAAACCAAATCAAACAGTGAAGCAACTGGTTGAAAAATACTGATAGTCCCACAGGCTCAAGAGTCAGCTGGCAGGAGTAAAGATTCCTGTTAAAAAAAAATATCCCAAGACCAAATATATATAAAATAAAAGATAAATCCCTTAGCCAATGTTTTTGGACAGTGAATAAACCAGCTGCAGGAGTGGGCTGATGCCAGGAATCTGAAGCAAAAGATCACGTGTGTATCCCCAGCCAAGAATGTATATGAGCAAGAGAATTTTAAAATCAGTGTGCAGTGCTGGAGGGAGCATTTCCTGTGATTGAAGGAACGATGATGAATGGATTAAGGTTTGGTCAGCACTGTAGCTGACAGCAAAGGAACCAGTTCAGATCCTTGTTCAGGAAAATCAGCTGGTAAAAATCAAACCTGGACATTACAGACATTCAACTGCAGCTCAGTGTTATATAAGGAGAGGAATAAACAAAAATATCCCTTTCACATGAATACAGGTCAACAGCAGCCAGTGTGAGCCTATCCATCATCCAGGCATGCCTTCAAAGGGACTGTGTTGTGAGCCAGAATTTCAGCCCCAATTTAAAAAGCAAAGCTTCCTGTGATTTTTCTGTGGAGAAAAACTTAAAATCTGAACAAAATTAGAGGTACAGTGCTTGGAGGGCTGCTCTCAAGACTGGGAGAAATTATAATGCACACAGACAGGGTGGGCAGTTAAATGGCACCATGGTAACCTGTTCAGGCCTCCCATATGAGAAAGAGACTTCCAGATGGGCCTCAGCTGACCTGAGGGATGAAGGACAACACATAGGAGATAACAACACTTCCATTTTCTCCTGAATTAGAAAAAAGCCAAGTAGAGAGCACAGGATTATTTGTAGTCACTGTTCAAGAGCTAAACAGCACCCATGGCACTCTGTGTGTATGAAAACTTCCCTTTTCTTATGCAGCACTTCCTGACATACAGAATAACTCAAGGTGCTTTACAAACACAGCTCTGGGACACTGAGATGACCAGTGTCAGCCACTCTTCTGCTTCCCAAGCCCAGAGCCAGCACTCCCTGCAAAGCTCATCTCTCAAGACATCGGCTCAGTTTGGTCTGCAGATCCAGATCAGCCTCCCCCCATTCACTGCAGTGCTGGAGAGCAAACACAGCACCACTTTTTCTGCCAAACTACATGTTTTCAATTCAATTTTATCTATGTTTGAAACGCTGCAATGGGGCCACTTCCAGCGGTGACCCTTCGAGCCGCCTCCACAAAACCCACTTCACTCCAGGCCGCTCCAGGACTCTGACCTGGGTTTTGCTGCTCGCGGAGGAGAAATCAGGGCCTTTGCACAGCTCTGCTGCCTGTTCCCTCCCTGCACTCCTGCAGCAAGGACTGTCCAAGTGCTACACGTGGAAAGAACCCTGAGGAAGCGGAGACTTACGGGGGGTTGTCGCATTTCCTCTGCCGGAAGCGCACTCCGGTGCCGCAGGTCCGGCTGCACATGCTCCACTGGCTCCACACGCTCCAGTCCCCATCCACGTGCTCAGGGATGGGGGTTTTACTGACACACTCCCCAGCTCGGCACCACTGCAATGGAACTGTGTTAGCACAGCCTGCAAAGGAGCCCCCATCCTGCAAACATTCCCGCTCAGGCGGACTTCAGAGGGCGTCTGAGGGGTTACGACAAGCCCGTGTTTAAGTTTCTAGAGGTTCAAGGTGAGAGGGAGGTGGGAGAAGGAGAAAGGGAGGAGGTGAAACACAGAAATTTTAAGTGTCACTCTCAACAAACCCCTGAAGGCAGTTCTGTCATTAAAAAAAATAATCACAGAATTGAGCCCCTTGCTTTATAAAGCAGATTATTATCTAAGTGTTAAGACTTAAAGCCCCACTATTCATAGAAACCCAGTCCAAGAAATCATCCCCCAAAGCAATGCCTTCATCAGCACTATTCCCAGGATGTACAAAATAATTGAAGTATTTTGGACCTAACTTGGCTAAAGCCCCAAACCTCTTTGATTCTAATAGGTGGCTGGCTCCTGACCAAGTAGCAAACTTGGCCTGTCCAGGATGTGATACTGCTAAGAGAGTCACCAGGACTTCTGTAGCTACAAAAACTCAGATCTAAAAACCTTTTGTCTCAGTTTCCTCGTCACGCTTTCCAGGGCCCAGCTTTTCTTTTCATTGTTTATTTGCAAGCAAAGTTCTTTAACCTTTGATTTCAGCAACAGCCTTTTTAATTTTACCCCTTCTTACCTCCCCAACCATACAATATACAAAAAATATTAGAGTCCAAAACCAGTTAAGTGGTGGGTGGCAGTTACCAAATCAGTCAAGTTCCAAAATATATACAGCAAATTATACCTCTGAAATAAGGGAACATCACTGAATTTGAGCTCAAACACTTTGAGCTACTATTAGAAACTATAAAGTTTTTAAGTAGCCTCTTTTTCTTTCCCCATCTTCCTCCACTCCCCAAATGCTCTGCACACTTTCTACCTCAAATACAGCCCAGAACACAACTAGCTCAGCTCACACTGAAAAACACCTCACTGAGGAAACCCCACCAGCAGCACTGAGCAGAGGTGACAGCAGGGAGTGCCCTCAGCAGCGAGCCCTGGGCTTCTCCTGCAGTCTGTGGAGTGCCCTGACCACAACAACTTCCCCACTGAAGCCTCCAGAAGCTACTGAAATACACTTAAATATAAAATCAGGAAGACTTAACCCAATCCAGCTGTTAATTGAGCAGTTTCTGTAACAGAATCAGTCAAAAATACAGGTTTATGGTAAATCCAGAACATCTTGGAAACATTATTCCCAATGCTGGAAAGCAAGAAGTGCTGCTGAGCAGTTTGATTACCTTGTCTGCGCCACACTCGGTGCCATCCAGAGGGGGGTCCAACTTGGTTTTACAGGAGGTATCTCCTTCCACCAGGCACCAGAGCCCAGCACACATCAAATGCTGCAATGACAAAGCAAGGGGGGGCAGTTATTCCTTCTGGAGATGTCAGCTATTGTTATGGGATACACTTCAAAGCTCAGGCAGACTTTCTCAAGTGAATCCAGAGGCATCCAGTTGGTTAGGGGGCAATTATTTTTTAAGGCTCAATTGGCATTAAGTGGTGGGGCTGGAAACATGAAAGAGTTTGATGGATGCCACTGACAGGAACCTACCCAAAACAAGGAGTGTGTTTTTCAAACAGATTTCTTTTCACAGGAATAAATCTGGTTCCTTAAAAGAGGCCAAAATGGGTGCCTTGGAACCACGCCACGTGCTTAGATGTCCAAGATGCTTAATTAGTCCTATTTTTTAAAGAAGATACTCAAGTAACACAGCCAGCCCTGCTGCACCTGGGTGGTGCTGCACCTTGGGGGAAGGGGCAATGAGAAAGAGGAAAGGATGTCATGGTGTGCTGTGCAGCAGAGGAGGAGCCAGAATGTGTGCAGGGATGTCAGTGCTGACCACAGCTCTGTGATCTGCCAGATCAACACGTTCTCAGAATTTGAGAAAAAGAACCAGCAAAAGGGGCCTTTGCATCGTTAACATTTTCCACAGCATCCACCGTGCTTTGCATTCCATGGAAGTGGATGATTTCAGTACAGTGCTACATAGCTGAGTATCAAAAAAAAATAAAGAAAAAAAATAAAAAGAAAAAGAAGAGTTACATTTCTTTCCACTATTGTTCACATTTCAACGTAATGGTAAAAAGATGAGAAGCCTGACTCCAGTGCCAGCTGGTCTTGTCAAGATTTATTGCACCTCATTAAATAGTTGAGTCAACACACTTCAACCTTATGGTTCTTTCCCAGTGTAATGTAAGAGACTGTGGGGGCATGTGTGTGTTTTGTGTACAGGCATGTTGGTATGTATATATAAAACTGATCATGTCTATATAAAATAGATCAGTACAAGAGAGGGTGCAGACGAGATAAATCCCAGTTCCAGTGATGATGTAGAACATACTGAAACAAAACAGTTATCCCAGCAGTATCTGCATCCTGATTTATTTCCACATTTCTTTCTGGAAAGAGGATTTTGCACTATTTAAACCCAAAATCTGGAAGCAGACGGCACAATTCAGTGACATCTGTATTAACCACAACACAGAAAGTCATCGTCACACAAACAAAAACCAGCAAATACACCAGGGAAGCCTAAACCAATGAATTTCCAAGACATTTTCCCTGAACTAATAGAGCATATGGGAAAATATCAGGCGTTAGTAATTTTGACTAAATGAGTGTGACTAATTAGTGGTTTACCCACAGCTCTGAAAGCACCACTTAAGCACCAATTAGCCATAAGGACATCACACAGTTTTATGGATAGGTACAGCCAGGCAGAAACATTGACAGGGCAGAGATTTCACAGCTTACTGAGAAATCCTTTGTTCCACACCAGAAATCTCAGATTCTGGAGAACCCTGCCTTCTGGAGAGGACTAAAATCCAAAAGTACATCAATTACTGCCCAAAAGTTCTACAGAAAGAACACTAATCTGGACAACAAACCACAGTGTGAAAGCACCACCAGCAAGGTCTCCTCCCAAATGGTGGCTGGGGAATATTGGTGTGTAAAATGATGGGAAGCTTTGGAGATCAAGGATGCAGGCAGCAAGTATTTCCACTTTTCCAAGCTTCAGTTCCTCTCTTTCATAAAATCACAAAGCATCAGAGCAGAATGTGAGGAGACACACTCCAGCCTGGTCTCTTGAATGATCCAGACAAAAATCCTGCCCCCAGAAGGAAACCCTCTGCTTCTGTTTTCTCTCAGAAAGACACCCTGGCTGAAGATGTAATGGAATTCCCTACATCCCTAAAGAAGTTGTCCTGGACACATATGAGCACCATTGCTAAAGAGCTGTGCATTAGGCAAGGCTAGTGTTTGTTAAGCTTCAGCTTCAAGCCCCTGGATCACAAACTGTGTGTAAATTAGGGTTAAATTCCCCTCTTTGATGTAGAAGGAGGTGGTGATGGAAACAAAAGTCATAAAAACAAAGCAGCTTTTTGTACAGTTTTAGTTAGCATGCAGAACTCCTCCAGAGCCCACGAGAACGTGGAAGGTGCTAAAGCCAGCTAACATTTCCCAGGTATGAGCCATGATGTGGGGATGCAATGGGCAGAGACTAACCCAAAAAGTGTGTCTGTACCCGCAGAACTCCAGGACTGGGCCCAGACTATGGATACAGAGGGTGCAAATATTCACACACATGTGTGTATTTGTGTATATACAAATATATATGTGTGCCTGTGCTTATATATATATACATATATATATGTATACACACACAGAATTATAGAGGAAAAAAGGAATCATCTCTCTCAGCAACATCAACCTTTCTGAAACTTCCCATCTTCGAGGTATGGAAAACATTGGATTTTTATAGCATCCCTATGTTTGATTCAGAATCCTAAATGCAAAGCATATTTCAGGAAACAGTTACAGAAAAAGCTCTGTGTTCTGGTGCCACACCACTACAAAGCTTCAGCCCTCGTTAGTGCAGTCCCCTGCATTTAATGGAGCTCTCAGATACCCCAGCAAAGATTAAACCATCAGCTCTGCTATTGTGTGTTCCCAAGATGTTTTATCATGTTAATAGCTCATTTCAAAAGAGATCGTGTATCCTCCTCGGCTACAATAGAAACCCAAACAAAACTCCCCATTAAACAGAGCTACAGGGAACCAGTCGCAGTGAGTGACTTTTTAATGGTTAAACAGCCAACTTTGTGGGGAAATATCCAAGGGAGAAATGGCAGGACTTGAAAGGAAGTTGTTGTATGTGAGTGGCAGTTCAGAGCTTACACTGATACAGAAGAAGCCATCAAAAGGACTGCATTACTGCTAATTCTATACTCAGCAAGCAGCTTTCAGATGGCAGGCCTCTGCCTGCAAAGCATTCAAAAAGTGCCAGTGAGGATTTTCCAATGATAGATATTTTGCACTGGAAAAATATTGATTTGTTGAATCTGTCTGTGGGGAAAGGTCATCTTTGGATCAGCTCCCAGTCTGAAATATTTCCAAGAGCAAAATAAAATTTTTTAAAAAAAGCGAGATGGCTGCTGAAAAGTAGTATTTCAATAAAAATTTAAAATTACTTGTTCAAAATAAAATGAAATGCTTTTTCAACCGAACCCTTCAGGAATTTTATACAGAGAGAAAATAAAATTTAGAAATTGAAATAAAATGAAATTTTTAGGAAGGTCTCTCAGAAACTCCTGGGAGATAGGAAAGCTTGTCTGCACAGCTGTTAAAAACCAGTCCTGAGGGAGGTCATGATCTGGAAACTCCCAAGCTGGGAGAGATCTGCTGGGTAGATGAATGACTTTCCAATTACAGGGGTGACAATGGCATCTATTTGACAAAGGGGCCTGCCTGTGCCAGGTGTTTTCTCTTCCTCAAAGAACTTGCAATCTAAACAGACTCCTGGGAGCTTGGAGATAAAGGAAGTTCTATCCTTCTGTTACAGGTGGAAAGATGAGGAACAGAAAGGGATTAAATGTTCCTCTGCTCAGTGTCACAGCTACCAGCTCCCACTGCCTGCTCCAGCTAAATCCAGGGTAAATCCAGAGACAACTCCTGGGATCCTCCCAGGAACATGTCTGGCTCTGGGCCTGCCCACCTTTCACAGCTTTCCATACTTTTTCCCCAGACAGGTCATTTCTGAAGAGGCTGTTTGCCTTCCCTGTGACTCCATCCCACGTGTGCCAGCGCGGACACGCAGCGCGCGGGGCTCACCCGGCTCTAGGGGAGGGATCTATTTTGGGTTCCTTAGCTCAGTGCTGCAGCTGGAAACGAGCAGAAGCCAGAATTAATCCAGCCAGCTCTTTGCCCACTGGCAGTAAGTCTCGAGTCTGCCTCTTTCCCAGCGATTGCATCACCACCACTGCCAAAATCTGTGTGATGCTGCCCCAGGACCTCACAAGGCCCACGATGCTTCCTCACCTCAAAGCCTCAGGTTATTGAGCCACAAGAAAGGGGAGCTCCCAAACCTCCACAGCAGAAAGGGAATCCAATGAATAAAGATGTCCTTCCCACCATGGAACAACTCTACAGAAGTTTATTCATTCCCTACACATTCACTCCTTCACCTTGTTTTCATGCAAAAACCAGAAACACTTATTTCTCCAGAGGATGAATTTGTTCCTGTTGTCCACTGGAGAGAGGAACCTCTTATTTCTAACAGCAGAATTAAACCACCATGAAATCAATTTTGCTGTCAAAATGAGGGGATTATGAATAAGGACTTAGGAAGAGCAAATATCTTTAAGGAAGAGGAGAAGCAGACCACATAATACACAGGCATGGCTAGAAACAGGCTTCCAATGAAGTATCAGGACTCCTTTATTTCACCAAGGTTTTGGCTCACCTTGAGAGAAAATGTGCTCATAAACAGAATCCTAATTAACACCTATCAGGTCCAATAAACACACAATTTACTCTCCCTTTCCTGTTCAAAACACTATGAAAATATTCCTGAAGCCTCACAGCCCATTTCTGAGGAGGAATTCTTTACACAACAAGGTGACAAAAACAATACTCCCAATTTCTACACCACCACTTTCTTCAATTTTGGGTGCACAAATAACCCACAACCTACAAGGGATCACAAGGGAGCCAAACACTTTTGTTTGATGGAGCTTCTTGCTGTTGAAAACAAGATGAAAAGTGTTCCAAACTGGAACCCTGTAAAATTGGAAGGCACTTTTGAAAAGGAGCCACCTGCTGTCCCAGACAAGATAACTGAGAAACTTGGATCCATGTGACAGTGGCCAAGCTGCTGACCTTTGCTGATATTCCAAGGAACAAGTGGTAGGTCCAATAAAGGAAACATCTGTCCAAATTACAGACCTGATCCAAAAGTCAGGGGAAGGTTTGAGGAAGAGTCACCATACAAGAATATTCAGGCAGCAGTTGATATCCACAAACGTTTCATTTTAACAAAACTGGACAACAATCCCACAA